TCTCTCTCTCTCTGTGCATGCGTGTGTGCGTGTGAAGGGATACATGAAAAGGAGATGGCCAACCTCATAAGGAACTTCAAAAGACTCTAAGATCTTTGCAGCATCCTTCATAACTGGTAGATCTGAATCAGATCCCATGATAATCCCAACACTTGGAATCACTGTACCAGTAAGACATGACACTAAATAATGATAAAACATAACAGGAATGGATGAGATGCATGAGAAGGTGCATAACCGCTGAGACGAAACATGTATGATAAATGACCCAAGGAAAAAAGAAATGGGCTTGAAGAATGAGTGGTCAGGGTGGCAGAGCCATAACGTTACGTCACAGGTTCTATTCCTACCTACCATACCCGTTAACATGTTAAAATAACAAAAAAGGATAATGTCAAACTATATGCAAGAACTCATTGAGAAATTATTAAGAAGACTTGAATGTGCATGTCAGACTTATTGGCAGCACATTCAAGAACTTGTGTAATAGGAAATGCATAAGCATCATATGAAATTGCAGAAAGTACAAGACCGTATAGGAATCACGTCTGTAATTGACGAACGAAAGAAGCCATGAAACCATGGACTCAGAATTCGCATCAACAAAGAATTTGCAATTTCATATAACTAAGCAAACTTCACCTCAAACAACAAAAGTAGCTAGAATAGACAATGATTCTTGAGGAAATGCAAACATAATTACAAAAATTACATAATGCAAAGTGAGACGTTCTCACCATTGCATCAAATCCCTTCAAGATAAATTACAAAAGAATATCAAAGAGATTAGTTTAGTAACCTGCACTAGTTGATAAGGCTTCCCTCTCCAACATTTTACCTAGGTATGCTTTCACCACATTCATTGATGGGCCCACAATTGTGATGTGCCCCATCTTACGTTGCTTTCTCATTTCTACAGACATTGTAAAAATTATGACGTATATGGCATAAATAGAATAGAGAACAGCTCTAAACAAATTCTTCATCTACAAAGTATGTACCTGGTTTTCCATACCAATGAATGCTAGCTCCAGGAATAGTCAAAGCCCTTTGCATCAACCGATGAGCAAGACTAAATCCAAGCTCACCCTGAATATATCAATTTTAATGGCGTTATAACATTTCAAATCAATTCCTTCTTCTTCTTTTTTCTAGTGATAGATTAAATCAATTCCTTTGATTAAGCAAAGCCCTTGACATAAACTCGTTCAACTCAAGCAATTAATAAATCAAATAAATGACTCGTTGAGCCCACCCTCTAAATAAGTACGTAAAAAGATAATAAAACATGAATAAATTATATGGCATAGTGACCTATGTAGCAATTTAATGAAATATTAAACTAGACATTGCACTAGTATTGTAGATTCCCATTTGCTTATTAGAAGACAACAATCACAATGTGATTATTTGAAATTCCTTGCTGAGTGTAATCTTAATCTCCTATCAATATGTGATTCCCCAACAATTATTGTGTGCCTCAAGCTCCAATCCAAATTGTCAAGCTGCTCAAATTTTGAGAATTGACCCATAAAGACTTCTTAGCCAGTAGCCAAACACCACATGGATTTGTACAATTCTCTATAAGTTTGGCCATATCAATTGTGCATAGAGGCGTTAAACTATATCAAATGTAATGTCCATGCTTTGGTCATAATATTTTGTCTACCTACAGGCATTTTACAGATATAGCATTGCAGAAATAAAAAGAGTAATGATCCTCTAGGACCTCCCCCACGCCGATGGCATGAGACCGCAATCCGTAGCAGTTAGATCTCAACAGACTTTCAAGTTAATACCTAGTAACCCAATCAACTGGTAAGGCACAGAATCCAAGAAAATCAAAAACCTCTTCAGCTCCTAATGTTTTTTTCCTTTTCTTTTTCTATTCCGTCTCTCGCTCTCTATTTTATTTTCCAATCCCATTTTTCGTCTTTAATATTTCCAATCCCATTTTTCATCTTTAATATTTCCAATCCCACTTTTCGTCTTTAATATTTCCAATCCCATTTTTCATCTTTAATATTTCCAACCCCATTTTTCGTCTTTAATATTTCCAATCCCATTTTTCGTCTCCATTCTCATTTTTCACCAAAAGCATGAGTGAGCAGAATTCTCATCTCATCCTTCTCTTCTCTCTGAGTACTGCTCTTCTTCTCTTTATTTTCCTCTTTCTCTCACCCTTTCCTCCCCAAGGAAATCAGTCTACCACCAGAGGACATTGATGCTTCAAAAGAGGCCCTAATGGATTAGAGAGAGTGTGGGGTTGCTTTCTTGCTGGAATTTCCTTTTCCCTGTTCCCACCATCTTCTCCAGCCACCCACATCTCTCTCCATGATTATGGAAGTTTCTCAGACAACCTTTCTTTTTTGGTTCCCATTATCTTCTGTCTCCACCCATGTCTTTCTCTCTCTTAAGATTATGAAAGTTTCTCAGACAAAAGCTCCAAGTTATCTAGTTTCTGGTTGAAGAGGAATCAAGGGCCTAGTTTTTAGGCAAAGCAGCACAAACACTCTCTCTGAAATTGCCTCTTTCCTAGAGGCCCTTTATCAATCACATGGTGGAAGCGAAAGCTTCTGCACTATTTTCAGTTCATAATATCTCTTCTTGTGATATAAATATTTTTTGATAGAGAGAGAGCCTCACTAACTTCATATAGGTGTCAGACAAAGAGAAGCAGAAGTTTCTTATCTTCCAAATCCTAATACGGTCTGGAGAAAAAATTTGGTGTTAGAAAGAGGAAATCCTCTCCCATTCTTGATACGATCAAAAGGGTGGATTCTAGATTGAGGAGGGAGCGTGCAACACGCATAGAAAAAAAAACATTAAGAGAGAGAATGAATTCTGGCTCATGACCACTTTGCTTGCCCTTCCTTCGAAACCTTGGGAGAGAGTGGGAAAAGAAGTACGGAATTTGGGTAATTAAGGGCTTTCCTTCTTGGATTGTGTGCTTGGGCATCCCAATTGGAGAGTGTGCTTTACCAAGTCACCAGGTAGCATCTCATCTATTCGAGAGCCCATGGCATCTAACGGTTAAGGGCTAGGGTCTCATGCACTTGGGGTGTGGGAGGGTCTCACAGGATCACTACTCAAACAAAAATCTCAGCTCAAATATATTTTTTTGCAGTCATGGGATAAAACACAAATGAATATTGGAAGTAATATCATATGGAATTCAGCTATGCATGGCCCATGACTAGTGAAAGGTTTCTTGGTGACAAAGAAGGCAAGCAGACTAAGCTCATGAGTGAAGAACAGAAAACTCATAGAATAATGATATCCATAATATGTCATGATAATCTATTTGATTTCTCTAAAATAAGAGTAGTACCTCCTCCTTGCCAAGTATATTATACATGAGAGCACCAGAAATCTTCATTGTCGAATCCCCAAGGGGAAGACCGATTATGGCTCTCAAATGTTGCTCATACTGTGATGCATAGCACGACTCAATTGTATGATGTCCACTATTATGAGGTCTTGGGGCCACTTCGTTTAGCAAAATCTAGAAAGCAAGAAAATGATAATATGGTCATATCAACATGGAAATATCATGACCTATGCAACAAACAGAATCAGAGACAAGAATTTGAGATCACAAGGATATAGCAAGTTTGAAATTCAACTAGCAAAGATCTATGTTGCATGGGTATGGGTAGGATTGCTATTAGAGGACACAAGTACAGGATATCAAATTCTTCAAGCCTCAAAAAGTAGGATTTATATTTATATATATATATATATATATATATATATATGTAGAAAAAGCTAGCGATAGGTTGTCACCTAAAATGAATAATAATTTGGGTTAAGCTTCTAGCCATCAAATCTTTATCGGACAATTGAGAGTGCATGTTACAATTTGAACTTTAATCTTTTTTCTACAAACCAGATCCGGCCGAAATTTTCGGTGTGTGCTACATATTAGGCGCACAAAAAAAATATAAACAAATATTTTTTAAAAAAAAAAAATTGGGTAATTCAATGGAGAAGACAGAGGCCCCTACCCGTTTTTTTCAATAGATTAGGAAGTTACATTTTGAAAGTGTTAATTGGGGGTGTCAGCAATAGGAATGGATACCACGATGTGATAACTGGATGTAGGGATGCTACCACCACGACCCCAGCCCCTTTCCTATATTTTTAAAAACTTAAAATAGCAAAAACACCCATTTAATATTTCAGGGGTATTTCTATCATTTTAAACTCTTTGGAAATATTTGTTTTAAATTTTTTCTCTGATGTGATGATGCCATGCAGATATACCTAAAATTTTGAGCTTGATCCGATTTGTAAAAGAAAATAAAAGGATTGAAAGCACCATACACTGTCAACCATTCAATCAAAGATCTAATGGCTGGAAGCATAACCGAGATCAACAATTTATTTATTTATACACACACACCATTCTTTTGGTTAAATTTTAAATAGCTCATCAAATGACATATAAAATGGGTTTAAGGAGTTCAAATTTTAGATGTATTTTGATTCATCATCATCATCATTCAAGCTTTATCCCAATTATTTGGGATCGACTACATGAATCATGTACCTCCATAAGTTCAAGATTCATGATAAGATGTGGCAAAATTTTAAACTAGCTGCCTAACTAATGCAACCCACCTCCTTTACCTGGGCTTGGGACGGGTTAAGGGAAAGTTTAAGGTCCTCACCCTTATTAGATCATATTCTCCTCCACAGGCAAAGAAGTACAAAATCAAAATGGTAATGATGATGGCGGAAGTGGAGTTAATAGTGATATGAACAAAGAGATGCATTAGACTCAATGGGATATTCAAAACAGCATTGAGTGCAAAGCAAAAACTGCAAGTTTTTACTTTTGCACTCACCGCTAAAAAGGAAATGGTTGTGATGCATTTAATGCATAAAAGTTGGAATCTTAAGTCAGAAAAGTTTGGGGTTTCTGTTATTTTTCCAAATAAGTAGGTAGAGAGCTAAGAGAAAGCGGGAGAAGGGGGGGGAAGAGAAAGATAGAGAGAGAGAGACAAGGAGAGGGAGATAGAGAGAGAGGGGGGGAAAGAGAGAGAGAAAGAGAGAGAGATCAGAAATTACAGAATGAAGAGAAAGAGAGGAAAAGAAAATTCGATAATTTCGTCATTATTCTCTTCTTCAAAAAATTCATAATTTAAGTATCGGTTGTACCCCTTAATGTGCATTAGGGTTTAAATAAAGAACTCAAAGCTAAAATAATAGAAAAATATTTTTATTGTAGGATTTCTTGGGAAGAAGATTCCAACACTTCGTGAAAAGAATCTGGGCATGTCTGAATCAATGTCTAGGTTAATTAAGAGCCCTTTTTCGAGAATTATTGACCATGAAGAATCCTGGTGAATCTGTACTCATATCTATTTCGATATGTCTCCAACATGGATACGCAACCCTTGTTGAAGATTCCATGAGAAGCTGAGTAAGAGAATGTCACCTGACCATCCCTCGTCAAGAACAACTCAACTGCAAAGACACCAGCGCCCTCTAAACAACCAACAGCTCTTTGTGCAACATCACCAGCGAGCTTCCTTATTTTCTCTGGCACATCAGCAGGAGCCTCCACAATATGGCAAATGTTGTCCCTATGGAAGCACAATTATATGACAAAGATAACAGTGGTTACAATGTTGGTAATGAATAAACAATTAGTCACTTCTAATTCATGAAACAGATATAGAGACAAACTTTGTTCATGAGATGACATCAGCACCAAGAGGAATGCAATGAATCTACACTCAGCTTCTTATGGGCTTCAAATCACATGAATCTATGGAGTAATAATATAAAATGATGAGTAATGAAGACACAAAATTCTTCGAAAGATCTTTTTTTTTTTTTCTAATGATGCAAATACATGTAATATTAACTACATAGAGGTTATTTCCTGTCTAATTATGCAAAATATGGGAAGTTTGCTTCTATAACCTCAACTCACTTAGGAATTGCGGATTGGCCAGTTGTTGGTCTTGGCACACACAAACACACATTCTATATATCGCCAACAAAAACAAGCAAACATCACATTGGATAGGAAGTATCAAAAACACACATGTTAGGATTATCACAAGGTTTGGCAGATCAAAGTCTTCCCTCCCTCCCTCCTAACCATGATCTCTGTTCTCTCTCGTCCCCCCTGCCCCATAGCTCTGTCCTAGCGCACTCCTCTCATTTTTATTTATTTTTAAATTAATGACAATATGTTACTTTATAGATATGTTTACAAAAAGTATCCCAAGAGGGGTGGGATGAGAAAGCCCACAGGTCTCGTTTTAGGAGAGGAAATGCTCAGTCCCTAACATGGGGGTGGGCAATCCTTCTCTCTATAACATGCAGATAAACAACCCAAGGGCCATAGGTTGAATGAACTGATCAGAGGATTTCCTTTTACCTATGAATAGGGGATCTCTTTTCTCATTTGAGGATAGATCTTCCTCTTAAAGAGAAGATTAGGTTTAGTAACAAGATTCATTGTGAGGAGGAACTCTCGTCATTTGGAAAGGCTGGTGCTCTGTAACATGTTTTCCTCTCCTCCAAGGAAGAACATCCTTGTTTTGCCGGGATCTACGATCCGCAACATATGACATCTCTCTTTTTATTGGAAGTCTGGGTAGCTCCATTTTCGAATCTATTTGCATGTAATGGGCGGAATCCCTGTAACTCACGTAAGGATTTCAACCATGAGGCCGCCAACTTATTGGATCATCTTTTCCCTAAACCAATGGAGAGGCTTTGCAACTCTCCAAGGGTTTCAACCACAAGGTACCACCTCATTGAATCATCTTCTTGCTAAAGCCGTGGAGAGGCTCTTCCCAAGAGTTCATCAATGATGTAACGCTACATTGGACTATCTTCTCACTCGACACATGAAGAGGTTTTGCAACTTCTATAACCTCTCAACGAAGAGCAGACTCCTCATTGGATCACCTTCTCTCTAAACCAACGGAACAACTTTCCAAAGGGTTCAACCATGAGGCAATGCCTCATTGGATTCTTCTGTCCAACCCATGGAGTAACATCTCAATAAAGCAGTTCATGTAGAAATTTGCAACTCTATCTTCAGAAAGTTTACTATTTGTTATGGAGGCTTTTCCCCATGGCTCCATACATTCTCTTATGGCCTTGGAAGGGGAAGGAAGTCATGGTTCTATTCTTCAGTTTGGTGAAAGCCTCCCAGACCTTCAATGGCTCTCTGCGCCTTCATTCTATTTCTTTCTTTCACTTTTTTTAACATCTGTAGGCCCTCTAGGCATTCAAGCAAAGATTTCAACCTCTGAGATGTAATTGATGGACCTGAATAGCTGGGGTTTCTCTAAGTTCTAAATTTGTTTTCTCTTTTCCCCATAAGAGTAGATTTTCATGCTTACAACTAGACATTCACACCCTACTTCAACGCTAACTTTAATCCAGAAAGAAAAATCTATGCCACCCAGTGCCTCTGATCCTTCCTATTGGATGTTGTTGACCCATACTTGAAAGTTCATTTTATTTATCTCAATTTGCATTGGTATCGAATTTATTTCAAATTAACGGTCTGAAGTGTCATACGCCAATGAAAATTGTAAACTTTCTAATGAAAGTGGTAAAGAACACAATTTTGTCTGGATTTTGTATCATGGAAAGAATTTCAAAACGATGAATGTATGATTTGACTTTCTAAATCAGTAAATGGAAAAAATTCAAACTGCATGATTTAGAAGACTAATCCTATGACTGAAAAGCATCATAAAATTAAATTAGCAACATCCAAGTCGCCTTGATATGTTCCACAGAATAAAACTCAACATTTAAAACTACAAAATGTTTCCCTTGTTTCTCTTTATTCCGTATTTTTGGATTTTGATTTTCATTTTATCTTTTTGAAGTAGTTCTGTAAAGACACAAGTCAGGACAATCAGGACTCTGCTATGTCGTCTTGGTATGCTGCAAGAGAAAACGTTGCAACACATAAAGCTACGGATGTTTCTGTCATTCTCTCTAATTTTTCCTATTGTTTTTGAGTTTTTGCTTTCTGACGACTCACCAAGTCCACTTGAGACAAATTCAGGAGAAGGAAGATCGCACAAAGTCCCAAACCAAGTCCAAGTTATTAGTCGATAACTCTATTTTAAAATTAAAATCAATTTCCTAAAGCATGGTCCCAAATTGCGGCAATTTGGTTCTACAAAATCACAATATCCATCTAAACCCCAACATGGTCTAGGACAGTGTAATATGAGCGCGATAACCATTATCCATAAATTCTCCTGCCCATGCTCCAAGGAACATAGGTCAACTTCACTTTGTAGTTGCCCATCGAAGGACAAGAAGAAACAGAGATCAGATTGCAGTAATAAGATGAATAGGAGATTATGCATTCAAAAACCATCATAAAAAGCAAGACATTACATTATCACTCGATGATGAACAACATTTAAAAGTATATGAACATATAAACAATGAAAAGAAAGTAAATACAGGTTAACCTACATGTCTCACACTGAGCAAGATGCTATAGTAAAAACAGATAAAAGAAAAACAATTTCTTACTTGTGAAATGTTTCAACCACAGGAAAACATGAAACAGAATTGTCCCTTCCTCTCACCACAACTACAGAGAGCTCCTGTATAACAGAAGGAAAAAAAAATCACAAATTTAAAAGATGAAATTCAGGTTTTCAAATGCAATTATGCAAAAGAGAAAAACAACATGACAATGTTCAACTTAAGTACTTTTTGTACAACTATTTTTTTTTATGCTAAGCATCTTCGTTCCATTTCTTAATTTTTTTTAAAAAAAAAATAGAGCACATCAGCAGGGATACTTCTTTTGTTCCCTATAACTATTGGGATAGTGTTACCTAGACATGGATGATGTGTTAAATGCAACAGCTGTTGAATTTTTTCCATTTACTGATTTAGAAAGTCAAATCATACAGCTCACTTGATTTGACTCATTTGCAAGTGTTAAATGCAACAGCCTAAAATCAAGAAAGGGACGATGTGTCCATATAATCATTATTTATAATAAAATAATAGATTTTAATATATATATAATATACAGCTCATATTTATTACACTTATATGTAGTTGGGAGAGTGATAGACTACATGAACACGGCAAGAGATGTTTTAGGTTGAAACCCCAGCCTTATGCTTTAATATTTTATTAATGTCCTGGGCATTGGGAAATGTCGCTCCAGTGTCTAAGTGTCAGGAATGGCATATCCTGGTAAACATAGGGGATATCCTGGTAAACACGCAAAACAGCAGCAGGAATGGGATATCCTAGTAAACATAGGGGATAGGTGCTGCATTAGAATGACAAAGGTCATGATAATGCATTGACCCAAATAAAATCACAAAAGGAAAAGCAGTAACCAACAGTGCAACAACCAAATTGATTTAAAAAAGGCAGAAGATAAATTCACAAAAGGAAAAGCAATAAAGAAAACAGATGGCATTATAACCAATCTCGATTTGTAAAAGCATACAGCTATGTCAACTGGAGTGACATAGGTACCTTAAAGGGAGAAATCATTAGGAGGTGGAGGACTGGATGATGTACAGCATTACTCATGGCTACTTTATTTTCAGATTAACACTACCATGGAACTCTTGAAGGATACACAGGGACCTAGGCAGGAGACGCTTCCACATCTTTTGATTCCAGCTAGAAATTTTTAGGGAGGTATCTAACATATGCTTCACATAAGATGGATTATTACATGTTCCTAGTTGCTAATGTGCAGAAATTGTCTCGTATGAAAGAGAATCAAAGGAGTGCAATGATGTGGAGATGCATGTATTCCAGTTGTTCACAGACAAACTTGGAAAGATAGGAACCCCATAGATGCCAAGCGGCGCAACATTGAAAGCAAGACCAGTAACAAGCTCATCACCTTGTTGAAAAAGTTTCACATGGGAAAGACGGAGTACTAAGATTTGAGAAGTCATGACTAGATAACATAAGGTTTCAAACTGGAAAATTGTCTTCAATAAAACAGATATCTATGCCTAAGGGAAGACTAGAGCACAAAGTATAGCATAATGCCACCAATGCTCTGAGGTGTGATTCATAATGATGAAGGACATCTCTTTCAACCCTTCAAACCATATCTCCTTGGAACCTCATATGGACCATTAAAAGTGATAGAAAGTAAACTCCACAAGTATCCTTGACCATTTTGACACAAATGATGTCCTTGACCATTTTGACATGAAGGAAGTGACAGTCAAGTTGAGATCTTCTCCTAGCCCATACAAGTACAGAGGCTTGGGAAGTTATCGATGGTGGGCGATCGGAGAGGCAACTCCGAAGGTTGGAGACCTAAAAAGAACACCATGAGAGTAGGTGGATGGAGACATTTTAGTGAGAATGGAATTTGGTTTACAACATTAAAGGTGCCCAGCCATAGAGATTGCTAGCAAAAGCATACCTTAGGGTTTGGGAGGCTTAATCAAATCACATGGGCTAGGCATGCATGTAGATATGCCCACTTACACGTTAAGAAGAAAGATTACTTACCAAATAAAAAATAAAGAAAGATTGTAAGAAACACAAAACTACCTAGATAAGCACATCCAATTCAAGAAGTCAATGTACAAATTCTGATGATACTTCAGACAACAAAAGTAATGTTTCATGTTCATACAGTGGCCTACACTATAACCAATTGAGAAAGTTCCAGCAAATTTTGCAGATTACTTGGTTCATGAAGACATCTCTCAGAAATGGTAGCCCACTCATACTTAATTTCATGGGTCCATGGATTATACACGTTGTGTACCATATGGACATTAAAAGGTGGTAACGAGCAAACAAAGCTCTGCTGATGGACTTAGAAGTGGAAAAACAGTTCATCTAAACCGTAACCGATGAGGATGGATCGTGGATAGCCAGTCTGTGGTCCATATATTATACAATACCTCATACATTATACAAGAAACAATCTAATGCCATTTTGAAAGTGACAAATAAACCATAAGTTGAGATCAAAGACAACGTTGAATGTCTATTATCTGTAAGATAGAACGTTGAAAAAGATAAACAAATCAATAATTCATCCAAGCTTTGACATACCTTAATGAATGGTGCCCATTTCTCAGCATATAGACCTCGGTCTAATCCACCCAATGCTACAAATTGTATAAACAAAGGCATCCGAATAACGATGAACTTTAATTATAACATGCTAAATGAACATGAAAAAGAAAAAAATAGAGTTTAAGTGGTAAGTCACAGAGGAAAGCACCAGAGATTATAATGGCAAGGGAGAAAAGATTACCGGATGAAGTTGCAACATAACAAAAAGAATAAATAACCTCAAAATGATAGATATACCTTTCAAAAGAACTTAAATAACAGCAATAGCTGCAACATAAAGGCAGAAATCAGCAAGTCCCATATCCCTCGTTCACTTACCTCAATACTCGTTATAATCAGCAACTACAATTTGAAGGCCATAAAACAGACTAATAACAACTGCTTAACCTTATATACCAATATTGCATTGTAAAAGAGTTAGAAAAATCCCTCAAAGAATGATAATGAAATCCAGCTAATGCAACAAGGCACGATCAAAACCCAATCTTAAATCATTCGTCTTGAACGGGTAAGAAGAAATCCTATGCATGATGGATGAAATCGCCTTTATCCTCCTCAATTTAATATTCCCCGATGATCCCAACCTTACATAGCCTTTCTAACCCCATCAATACTATTAAGGCCTCAATGTGAAGTTTTAAGTTTTGGCTTATGATATTGGAACAGAATGCATTTAAGAGAGTAATAAGCGCAGAATGTTGAACAAGTGTTATTGTGTTGTTAGGACTTGTTGAAAATAGGTTACAGCACTTTCCACAAAATCCTTGCAGTAAAACTTAAAGCTGAGAAAGATTGCCTTGGTTCGTGCAACAAGAAACACCAACACCACAGTTTTTTACTTCTATATGACTAACCAACATTTTCTTGAAAAAGATCAAAAATATATAACATTTTCATGCAAAAGATGCCTTTTCCTATATTTGGGATATGCAAGCAAAAGTAGGCCAATTATGTTAAGTGGATGTTATCTACTAGGATGAAAGTTTGTAGCAAAAGGTCAGTTGGCATGTACGAGTAGTAATGTTCCATATTAACATGTATCACGGGCATTACCCGAAACGGCGTAAGAAAGATCCTCTTTCTTGTAGGCAACAGCATTTCCACGCCCATCATAAGCTAGCCTCTTGCTTTTGATCATCAAAGGATAACCAAACAAATTACCTGCTTTTTCAGCACTTTCAAGACTATCTACCTTGACCAAATAATAAGACAAAATCAGAACCACATAGATCACTTCAAAATCATAAATGAAACACTGCTCGTATTTACAAGATATCTAACCTGCATAAAATCTGGAAGTGGAATGCCATGATGAGAAAGATGAACTTTCTGGAGATATTTATCCTGCATCAGATCCAAAAATAAACCATGAGCAAAAAAAAATTCCATTCTCCATCAAAAAGAACTGCAGCAAGCAATTCAAAAAAAAAAATTTGTTTATTTTCTAGTCAACAAGAAATCCAATTGTTTGAAACAAAATCCTTGAACAGCATAAAGACTGAGTTTAGGGAATGAAAAGGTTCCTTTACTTTTGTAGAAATTGAACAAAGGTTAATCAAAAGAGAAAAGAGGCCTTTCATGTGAACATATGCAAGGACAAAGCGGAAATCAAATCAAAATTATCAAATCATGATTTACTTGGATTGTCTGTAATGTAGAAGCTTTAGGCTGGCAGTCCACTCCTTGTTGCTCAAGTCTTTCAAGGGTGGCAGCATCAACATGCTCAATCTCAACAGTGAGCACATCACACCTAATCACAAGATAGCAAAGGATCAAGATGGACCAATATTCAATGACTGGATGAAATAATAATAAGCCTACATTTATAAACGCCTGAATACAGAAAGGGATGGAAGATGGATCAATAGTCAATGAGAAAGGTAAAATGTGGATAATTTTATGTCTAAATGCCTATATTTTTTTTTTAAAATGCTTCTAAGCACCTGACCATTCCTATGTACGTGTATGTAACTGCACACAATGCTTGCTTATACCTAGAGGAATAGTAATTATATCACAAATTTCAATGCATGTAAAGAGAGAAGAGGAAGGGGGGGAGGGAGGGAGAGAGACCTGTAAATAAATGTCAACATATTCAGATGCTTAAGTACACACCCACAACTGTCAAATATGTATACATACACATAGTTACGTGAGTATGCTCTGTATTTAGTAAGATTACAATCGCTGGTGTGGAAGTATGTGTGTGTTTATCTGTGTACAAAAAACATACACATACATTATCCACATGCAAATATACGCAAACACGTAAATGCAGGAATACAAACATATGTACATGGATAAGATGCAGATAAATCCATGCATGAATACACATATATGAGAATGACCATTTGTGTGTGAGTGTGTGTGTGTGTGCACCAAGTTCCCATTTTAAGTTTGGAGAGCTATACATCTTTGCAAATTCTTGAATCGCATCACTATCATCGAAGCTTCCAATCATATGGCGGAAGCATATTGAACTAGCGGGGCAATTCTCGAGGGGATCCAAAATTGCTACTTTGATTCCCATAATTGATGCTGCCTGACAAAGCATGCGGCCCAGCTGCCCTCCCCCTAACACACCGACGACTTTATCTGTTATCCCACGAATGGGCAGTGAGTCCTTGCTGCAAACACGCGTTTTTGAGAAACTATAGTGAGTTAATTTAGCAATTAATATAAAAACACATAGGTTTATCAAATGATGATGGAAAAAGTTCAGTACAACTAGCATCATCAAGGTTCATAACCCAATTTCTGAGGCAAATTAAAAGCATAAGATGTGTTTTCTTGTAATGTGACATGCCAGTCAACATGCACACAGATTTTTTTTTTTTTGGTGATAAGTGACAAGTTATTTTCTTTTTTGATAAGCAACAAGAATATAGAATGTGTAAATGCATACTTTAGTTTTTTTTTTTTTTTTTTTTTTTTGATAAACAACAAGCATATATATTGGTCTTTTTCATTTTTCGATAAGTAATAAATACTTAGATTCATTAAATGATCCACTCAAGCACATAGATTCCTTGAATCAGAATAATTATGGAGGCCCATGAGAGCAACTCATTCTGCTGAAAATGAAAGTACCAAACTTCATGGAAATTATCAGGAAAATCAAATCAAACAGTTCTAAATTATGCATCAATTGAGAAATATATCCATAATACCCAATATATCTGTAATGCTCAAAACATCCAACTTTAATTTTTAAAAGAAACTGTATCAATTGAGAAATATATCCATAATGCTCAAAACATCCAATATATCCCTAATGCTCAAAACACCCAACTTTTATTTTTAAAAGGAACTGCTTTTATAAAGAATAACATGATTAAATATAAATGTTGCTCCCCAATAGATGGCATGTAAAACAATTACCTTCCTGGACAACTCTGATTACCAATGCTAAATGCCCCACATTTCACAGATTCGCCTAAAGAATGAGTGAGTTCTTTCGCATCATTTGACAAATGCACTGAAGAAGCTGCCTTGTCCATCAAGCATTTCAAAGACAACCGTAATCTTATCCTTCTCTGGTTTAATCGATCACAATTATGAATCAAATAAATAGAAGGATCTTGTTGCCTTGTGCACGAAGCTGTCGGGTGATTGAGAAGCATATTGGTGTTTATTTGAATTTATACTAACCTACTGCACATCAGATAACACAAAGCTTGAATAAGAACGAGATTCACCAATGACAAAACAGCATAAATTTCTCAATTAAAGAACAAAGGGAAACAATGCAAGAATACAATGAGCGAGACAATAAACATTTGGATATATGACACATTTTCCAATATTAAGATAGCTTTTTTGTATGGCGAAAACAATGAGGGAAGAAAAAAAAATGGAAGTTCAATCCAAATGAGAAAATATGAAATAGAACGCACAATTTAGGAGAAATATAAAGCTCGCGAGTCTCAATAAGAGAGGAGAGCGTGATATGTTTGAAAGGGAAAAGAAAATAAAAACATATCAGGTTCGATGGACCATCAGTCCTTAGGGTTTTGGAACCTGATATGTTTTTCATGGACATCATATTTAAACAAGAGAGAGATTTTAGAGAGAGGATAAGAGATTTTGAATCCCATTTCGAAATGGGGATATTGTTAAGAAGTTTTACAGATGCGGCTGATATATCTCTCTAATGTTTCTCTCTTTATCTCTACGATTTGAAACCCATTTTAAAAACCCAAATGGGGATATTGTTAAGAATAATATGGACGAAGCTGATATTTCTCTCATGTTTGTTTCTCTATCTCTACGATTTGAAACCCATTTTGAAAACGCAAATGGGGATATTTCTAACGTTTCTCTCTCTAACTCTAGGGCCGGCAGCAAAATCCATTTGCAGTCAATGAAACAAAAAAACCATACCATTCGGTGGGTTTCGATTAGCTCTTATCAGCTTCTCTCTGAACAGGTCTTCTCTTGGTTGTTTTATCAGCTTCTCTCTGCATTTTTTGCCTAGGCAACAAAGGATATTTATCAGCTTCTCTTGACCATCAGTCCTTAGGGTTTTGGAAGGTAAAATCAGAGAGAGAGAGAGAGTTTATAGAAGAGAGATACCTAAATTTAAAGAGAGAGAAATTAAAGAGGAGAGAGAAAGATCGCAGCATCGACCATATGGAAAGATTAAAGAGCAGAGAGAAAGCTTAAATAAGAGAGGAAAAGCTTACAATGGCGATAGTGAGAGAGAGCCCCATTGATGCTTTGTGAGGCATTTGAAGGATTATACGATTTTGCCGCCATTTGTTTCCATAGATAACCAACTGATATATTCATGTTTTTTAGCTATTTTATTTTTATTTAAATTTTCATATGTTTTAAATGTACATGATGGTGAAAATTGAAAACTGTATATATACACACAAATTTTGAGTTCAATCTGTATATTAAAAAACAAAAATGTGTTTATCGATCTACCGGTAAGGAGTTGTATGAAAGTGAATCGAAAAAATAATCTGAGTCTTAATAGTAGTGCAGCTTGTATACATTATCTGGACCGTCTATTTTCAAGATTTGAACCGTTTTTTTATTTAAAATTTTATAATTACATGGAACTAGCTCTTAGGCCATCCTAAGATTTTTTTTACACCAAATTTGCATCACATGAAAAAATTTGGAGATGCACCTTACTTTGATTGTTTAAGGTTGCAATCGCAAATAAATCTCACCCTTTAAGAAACATGCCTACTATTTATTTAAAAAAATGTATATTATAGGATTTATTTATTTTTATATACAATGAGGTCACAATTATTTTTAAGTTTGGATATTTAGGTTCATATCTCACATCTAATAACATATTTAGTATATAAATCTTATAGTTATTTTATGAAAAAGTATACAATGATACCATTTATCTTTGGTACAAAGTAGTCACAATTGATCTTAACCATTGTATATGAAATTAGATAGTTGTAATTATTTCATAGACCAAGCTCAAACTTCAAAATAAATTTTCCCAATCTTTGTGATACTCCCAAGCTATCAAATTTTACATCGGGAAGTTGTAAGTAATTGTGACCTCTCTGTATCAAAGCTAAATGGTCTTATTGTATATAATCCATTGTTTTATATGTGGGTGAGGTTTGCACAAGGTTGCAATCTTAAACAATCAACCTAACGTGCACCTCCAAAATTTTTCATGGGATGCAATTTTTGTGTCAAAATTTCTTAGGATGGCCTAAGAGTTTATTTTCATCTAATTATAAAAATTTAAACTCCAAAAATGATTCAAATGAAGTAGATCTATAAACATCTGAAAATCTATAAAATAGACCATCTATATAATGTGTTACAATATGTACTATTTTTTAGACTCAAAATCTTTTTTTTTTTTTTCATTTTCATATATTTCAATGTCAGAGATGATCAATTAGAGGGTTTCCTGACATCAAAACAGTATTTTCCCATGATTTTTTAGATGCAACATTAGTTACTACATTTTAAAGTTGCAAACTAAACTTTTTCCTTTTTCAAATCTTAAATAATATGGGGATATTTATACAAATTTCCGGTTTAAAAAGTCTCAAATGCATTTTAAAACTTACACGCGTCTCTTTCTTATTTTGTAACTTTCCAACATCCCTCTCGATTCGTACTCAAAGTTTGCTCCACTTTTTTACACAAATGGTTTAGAAAAAAAAAAAAACCGAAAACTACCGACTTACCTCAACCCAACCAACTTTTTCTCTTACTTTTCTTCTCAAAATATACTTTCTAGGTAAAAACCCCAACCAAATAAAAAATAAAAATATCAAAATTACCCTTCCTTATTTTTACCTTAACCTAGCCTCCCTCCTCTTTTCCACCAAAATAGGGTTTTCGGCAATATATAAGTGGGGTCCCACACTAGTGCTTCGGCACTATGTAAGGTTCGGTTCGACAGTAAGGCTCTAGCATTATGTAAAGCGGTCCAGCAGTAGGGCTCCGATACTATGTAAAGTGTGGTCCTTCCCACCGTATCTCAGATGTCTACTTCTTTACCATTCAACTGGGGCCAGGTTAATGCTAAAGAGGGGCAATTGTAAACACCCACTTGAAATTCTAGATAAAGGAGCTTTGAAAAAACCTCGATTTTGAGCCCGAAGGACCTCAAAAACCCTAGTAGACCATCGGCAACCTAGACCCACTAAAATTATCTCAAAATTGCTCAAAACTTATCCCAAGTTTAAGTAGACTCCAAGAGCTTTCCAACATTCAAGAATCACCCAAATCGGACATACAGCTAAAATAAATATAAAAAATAACAATTTGGTCCCTATGAGACCCAAGTGTTGGGGCTCAGGGTAGGCCCTGACGCAGCCCAACAGGCCTAGATGTGGCCTGATGATGTACTAAAAATGTGTTTTCTTTAGTAGATAAAGTCAAAAGATCAATCAAATAAAAAAATTGAAAAAAATATAAAAACAAATCAAGAAATATATACAATTGAAACCTATAAATACCAGCCTCCATAGCCCAAGGTGAGAGATTAGAAATCCTCTAGAATCCTTAAAAAATAGGACACAATTCCCAAAAATATGAAAAATAGCAAAAAAATAATAATAATAAATTTAGAAAAAAAAACCATAGAAAATTCTGAAAAAATTTAAAATATATCTAAAAAATATCTAAAAATCACAAAAAATCTTAGAATTCATATTCAATATAAGGAGATGCGAATTTCTTTAGAAAATTAAAGAAATTCTTCTCTAATCACAAAAAAGGCCTAGGTAGACCCTACAAAAAATTTCACCTTTTCCCCATGCCTTAGTATCCCTAGATTTAGGTAAATGAACATTAGATCTATCAATCCCAGCAAGCATAAAGAATCCAAAAAAGGAGATGGTGACACAAATAAAAAGAGTGGCCTGATCTAAGCCCAAAAGTCCAGGTTTCATATCCCTAGAGGTATGTATTTCTTCTTTGCTTAATTTAGTTTGTTTTTCTTCATCAAATTATCTGCTTTAGTTTATTTTTTCTAAAAAGTAATTTATTATTAGATTTAATAAAATTTAGAAGCAACATTTCATGTCAATATACGGATTTCGAGTTGGCACTTCTAGTGAACTTGAAAAAAGACCAGATCTGTATAGATCAAGGACTTTTCTGAGCCCTACTTTTTCTACCTTTTTCAAATTTAACTCAGTTTTACTAATATTTAAGTCAAATATATGTATAGATCGGAGCGTAAATAAGAGTTTTGTGATGCTTCAATATACATAATGTCAAACCAGTTAGTACCCCATTTCCTATGTATATGAAGTTGTTTTCCAAAACAATGCTCTAGCACCGACGCACAGAAGACATTGATGTCTCGAGTACCATATTCAATCTACATTAGGGAGCTTCATGTTTGCAATGGGTAATAGCAAACCTAATATAACACAAGCAATGGGAGGTATGAGTAGATATACGATAAATCCATACCATGATCATCGGACCACTTTGAAGTGGATCATTTGGTATTTGAAGGGAACTTACAATGCTGATATTTTTTACAGTGGAATGGATTTGAAAGCGATTGAATATGTCGATGCAAATTAACATATTGATGTTCTAACACTTCATTAGTGATGTGGTAGAAGATGGAAATATTTTATGGCAAAAATTCATACTGATGACAATCCATCGGATATGTTAACTAAGCCCATTGGAAAAGGGAAGTTCACCTGGTGCAGGACTTCCTTGGGGCTAGTCTTTACTTGATAATTAATAACTGGTGGGCATAAATTTCTTGGAGCAGACGAGTCAAAATAGAAACATATCTTCAAATGGGAGAATGTTAATTACGTGAAGCCAATTTCCATTAAAGTAGGAAGTTGTTTCCTATTTTATGGGTATCTAGTATTGGGACTCACACGATCCATATCCCATCCATTGTTAGCTCCTATTTTGGTAGGGAAACTAAATCCTAGTAGATGTGGGAAATTTATGGGTAAAGATGATGTCTCACGGCGGTAGTCTATGAGAAATAGGAGGCCTAATCAAAATAGGAATTGGAGAGTGAGGCTCATGTGAGTCTCATGGGTTTCTTCTCTTTATAAAGTGTGCTTTGTAGAACAAGAATATAATGCAAAAAAAAAATCAAAATAAAAGAGTTAGTTCTTTAGTCCTTGAATGGGTATTCTAGTGAGAGAAAGACTATGTTTTAGAGCTTGAGATAGAGAGAAGGTGTAATCCCTTGTATTCTCCATGATTGCATGATATTTTTCTTATTAGTGCAAGAGAACTTTGCTGCCCTGTGAATGTAGGCAACTTGTCGGACCAAATAAATCTTTGTATCACTTTTCTTTTATTTTTTAGCACTATTTTTTTTTTCCTTATTTTTGCCAAACTTTGGTTTTTATTCTTCACATCACCTACAACTAAACCAACCCCATTATTTTTTAAAATTAATTGTCCTCTTGTTTTTTGTAATGAATCATAGACATTATTGGGTTATTCTTCGAAATCTTTAAGAACACTTTTTTTGAAATTTTTTATTTGCAAAGATTTTCTTTCACAAGTTCATTTTTCAGGGTTCCAAGCAAAAAATGTCAATTGACCTTGTTTTTGAGAGCCTAGGTGCTTCAAACTTTGTGGGAGAGGGGGCCTTTGCAGCCTCCTCTTGCACAAACAGCAACACATCCTCAATTCCTTCTGTTAAAGCTTTTGCAGGATTTTTTGCCCAATTGTTATGCTCTACACATATCTTATGAATTTCTTTCTTATGTTTTTGTTGAAATTTTGTAAGCTGATTGTTACTGAAATTTCTGTTGCCTAAATTCTTAAGTATCCAAGAAATAATGAATTTCCTTTTTTAACCATAAAAATAGATGCAAACCCAGGTTATACAAATTGATGAACAAAAAATGGGAAATTTTCATGGTTCTATCCAAACATTCCTGTCCCCATGACTAGGTTTTTGCTAAACCAAGGATTGGAAGAATCAGGTTGATTTAAAACAGTGAGTTTTCATACTGC